AGGTTGGGGGGTCCAGGGCTGAAGGCTTTAGAGTTGGGGGTTTATGGTTTCAGGGTCTAGGGTTTTGAGGGTCTAGGGTCTAGGGTTTAGGGTTTAGGGTTTAGGGTTTAGGGTTTAGGATTTAGGGTTTAGGGTCTAGGGTTTAGGGTTTAGGGTTTGAGGTCTAGGGTTTAGGGTTTAGGGTTTAGGGTTTAGGGTTTAGGGTTTAGGGTTTGAGGTCTAGGGTTTATTGACTTCGGGCTGATTGCTGAGGTAGAATTCTTACATGTGGGTAGTTCTCCCCTTTTGAGGGTCCTGTTTATAAGGGTGCCGTATTATATAGGGGGCCCAAAAAGGGACCCTAACTTAGAGAACTACCTATTTCAAGATCTGTGAGGTAACAACACATAGGTGTACGAATTGAGGGGAGGGGGGATTTGCTGCTGGTTGAGGGTTGAGGATTCTTTTACTTCTTTTGCCACCCGCCTAGCTGACTGAAAAGTCGCACTGCTGAGAACATTACACGTTATTACGAACTCATAAAAATCCCAATGTGGGTAGGGTTGAGGGTCGGAGGCATTGTGAAGTTTCTCTCGGTTTTTTGAGGTTTGAGAGTTTTGGGCCTGGGGTTTGCAGCGTCTCGTGCTGAAGGAACTTCGGGCCCTGAACCCTAAACCCTAAAAACCCGCGACGAGCGTCGCTTCTAACCAGGTTTGGGCTTGTTCCGAAGACTCTAAACCCTAGACCCTAAACCCTAAACTTCCTAAACCCTAAACCCTAAACCCTAAACCCTCAGGAGCTTAGGGGTTGGAGGGGTCTTTAGCAGGGCCAGAAGGAGCTCTTAGGGTTTAGGGCTCAGGGCTTAGGGTTGTGTGCGTTCAGGGGAGCTCAGGGTTCTTGTGGTTTTGCTCTGGGCGAGGGGGCGAAGGTGGGTCTGTGAACCCCCGGTCCTGATTTCGCAGCTTAAGAAGTCTGGGGGCAGAGCTTCTTGCGCTTAGGAGTTACGGTTCAGTGCTCATGCCCCTGGGATCTTACCCAGAGCCTGTAACATAAAACCAGTTGCCTGAAGTACCGTTGCAGGGCGCGCAGGGAGTTCTCTGGTGACGGCTGCTAGCTTCGGGACGAAATCACAACAGAAGCCCAGCACAGTACCACGCACCGCAAACCCGAAACCCTGAGCCCTGTCTAGGGCGGGGCCTACAGGAGGCATTGGCTGAGGAGGGGCATGCCAAGGGCTCTACTTGAGGCGAGGGGCGCTGCGCATGACCGGGGCGAAGCCGTTGAACATCTGACTGTTCATGAGCCTGGGTATGGTCGAGGGTTTGAATGTTCATGAGCCCTGGTATGGCCGAGGGCTTTTCACGCCAAGCTTAGGGGATCCGAAGTATAAGCCCTTAATTTGGGGTTCACAGGGACAAGGTTTGGGGCTGAGGGTGGTCGGCAGCTCTGGAACAGCACCCTTGTTACACAACCCTGTATATAATAGTATATACGCTATATGTAATAGGGGACCATACTTGGGATCCCTATAAACCAGGTATTGGACCACAGGAAGGGCCCATGGTCCCAACCTTAGATAGCTGGACGAACCACCACCCCAGGGCTAAGGGTTTGTCGATGAGCTTGATGTGTGTGTGTGCGTGTGTGCGTAGTTTAAACATGCTGTCATGTGATGGCACCAAGCAGCACACGCCGCAAAGGACCTGCCACTCCGCATCATCACGGAAATTTGTCGGGCCAGAACACGAAGCAAGAGAGCGTCCTTTCCAGCCCAGAGAACTCCTTTCAGGAATACACCTCCATGCAGCCTTGGTTTGGAAAAACTGAGGTACCTACACCCCAAACCTTAAACCAAACCCATAGTAAAACCAAACCCACAGTTACGGGGTCACCCTAAACCCTAAACCCTATACCCTAAACCCCTAAACCCTAAACCTTAGACCCTAAACCCTAAACCCTAAACCCTCCAAACCCATAGTTACGGGGTCGTGACGTCGACGCTCCCGGGTTCCCGGCGTGATGATGAAGCGACTGCCCAGGCTGCGAGCAAGTGCCAATGCAGTTTGGGCCTGCCCCACACACAAATTCTTGCGTTTAGGGTTTAGGATTTAGGGTTTATCTAGGCGAGGGCTTATAGCGTTGGTTGCGTAAGGGTGTAGAGAACACCAGGTTACAGTTAACTAGGACATCTCCAACACGGGGAACACCTCGGTACGTAAACACAGGCCGTTCCAGTATGGCGCTCCAGTGTTAGGGGGACAGGATTAGGGGGACCCTGGCTGATATGGACCCTCTGAATAAGGTCCCTGTGTAAGAGAGCCGTAAGAGGGTTCAGAAGGGTTCCCTTTTAAGGGTCCCCCTTATCCTACCTAGGAGTGTTAGGAGTCCGGCATGTGCGACTGCCAGAAATTTCAGGCTTTATCGTTTTGACGCTCCCAAGCCTCGAAGCATGGATCTCGGGTTTAGGGTTTAGGGTTTAGGGTTTAGGGTTTAGGGTTTAGGGTTTAGGGTTTAGGGTTTAGGGTTTAGGGTTTAGGGTTTAGGGTTTGTGTTTTTCCCCCCTCCTTGGTACACTTCTCGATTTGTAAAAAGATGGTTTAGGGTTTAGGGCTCAGGTTTCTTTCCCTCCTTGTTGCACTTCTCGATGTGTATGAGGATTTAGGACTTTAGGGGGGGTGTAAGGCAAGCTTTTGAGGTTCAACATCAAGCGTGTAGCCATTTGAAACCCGAAACCCCAAGCAAGAGGTCGCAAAAAGGGTGCGCAGAGCGGTTGGCAGCCTCCGCCACCACGAAGTTGTTTGACATGTATCGAAGCGACACGCCTTTGACGCGGTCTTCCTGGCAGGATTGTTTGGGCCGTGTACTGTATTGCGGGTAGCACTCTAAAAATCAAGTCCCTGTTTCGGGTACCTTAATTCGAAGGCCGTGTCTCGTCATAAGCAGAAAGGGATCCAGCTACGTGCCAGTCTACAAGCGGCCGAGAGCAGCGCCACCATGACTCGATGATGCTCATGATGCGTGTGTTCCCGAGACGCTACACAGCTTGCTCATTGCTCTTCTGAACCGTGACAAATCCTGCCCCCATGCAAATCTACAAGCAACGCTCTTTAACGTTCAAATTCCGTCTCCGGTCACAAACATGTAACCTCCCAAGGTCAGCCCCCTAACAGCCCTGAGCCCTAGCCTCGTCTTGTTTAAACCCTAAACCCCCTTTGCTTAACCCTAAACCTGAAGCCACGACGGATCCCAGGGCTCGGGGCTGCTCGTGCTTAGCCAGGGAGACTTCGAGGTCTGCTTTCAGAAGCGACTGTGCAGGTGCAGGGCTTAGTGTTTAGCATTTATGGGGTTTTGGGGCTTAGGGTTTAGGATGTGTAGGCTGCTGCCTCGGAACGGCTCAAGCATCAAGCAGTACCCCAAATGATGACCTCTAAACTCTAAACCCAACATGCCCAAACCCCTAAACCCCTAAACCCCTAAACCCCTAAACCCCTAAACCCCTAAACCCCCAAACCCCTAAACCCCTAAACCCCTAAACCCCTAAACCCTAAACCCTACACCCCAAACCCCTTTAACGCCAGACCTCGCCAGCCAACTTCGCCTGCTCTTCCACAGACAAAAAGAGGCCCTGACCTTCACAGTGGCTAAGAGCTCAAGGCTTGGTTTAGGGTTTAGGGTTTAGGGTTTAGGGTTTAGGGTTTAGGGTTTAGGGTTTAGGGTTTAGGGTTTAGGGTTTAGGGTTTAGGGTTTAGGGTTTAGGGTTTAGGGTTTAGGGTTTAGGGTTTAGGGTTTAGGATTTCGGGTTTCGGGTTTCGGGTTTCGGGTTTCGGGTTTCGGGTTTCGGGTTTCGGGTTCAGGGTTCAGGGTTCAGGGTTTAGGGTTTAGGGTTTAGGGTGTAGGGGTCTAGGGTTTAGGGTTTAGGGTTTAGGGTTTAGGGATTAGGGTTTAGGGTTTAGTGCTAGGGTTTAGGGCTTAGGGTTTAGGGGAAATCTTGCACAAGTGTGGATAAGCGAGTGCGTGCAAGGCAAGCAAAGACACGAAGGAAAAATGGAATGAAGTGATGAAGGCAGAAGACAGAACTAATCTCTCAGTCTGCGCTCCTGAGGAATCATACACAGGCATAGCATCCGGGAAAGGGCCTGCAAACCGCTCTAAACTCCAAACCTTAGCCCTTCCAAGTCCGCCCTAAACCCTAAACCCTAAACCCTAAACCCTAAACCCCAAAAAACCCTAGACCTAAGCCCCTTCTGAGGGCCTTTCTGCGTGCACCCTCAAGCCAAAAACGCTTTGCAGTTGTATCGCTGCCGGGTCAAAGCCCCGAAAGCCCTGAATTCTGAATTCTAATTAAACCCTAAACCCTAAACCCTATAAACCCTAAACCCCAAACCCTGAAGAACTCCGCTCTCAAGGATCTTTGATGAATTTCCCTAGTTGCTTTTAACCCCATCTCCCTTGCAACATGCACGGGGTGGTTTCACGCAAACTTCATGCTGGACTCCACCATGCAATGTCCGACCGAAACCCTGAACCCTAAACCCTAAATGTCCCTCACCCTTGAGCCCCTCAGCCGCAAAAGTGTGATTCGCAAAGCGCTGGCGCTTCCGGGTGCCGGACCATAAGGCTCCAGGGCGTAGATGCACACAGCCAAAGGGACCTTGGGGTTGGGGTTTAGGGTTTACAAGTTTACGGTTTAGGGTTTGGAGTTTAGGGAGGTTTTTGGCCACCCAGTTTAGGGTTTAGAGTTTTGGGTTTACGGTTCAGGTTTCAGGGTTTAAGCTTTGTCAGAGATTCTGGAACTTGAGGCAAACGGGCAGCTTTTTAAGGTCCGCATTAGACCGGGCTTTCCCTTACCCCGTTTTGGCGTCCCTGACCCCGGCCCCGGATGCCCCTAAACGGGCGACATGATAGTGACCTTTTTGTTATGTTTCTAATATTTGCGCATGAATACATGCATCGTACCCTTACTGAATGACCATGATCATAGGAAAACGCTTTCTTGAACAATGGGCATGGAAATAGTGATGCTATGAGTGGTAAGGTACTGCGTCGCAGGAACAGAAAGCAGAAGTGAACAACACTTCAAGCCACCGACACCTGGCCTGAAAAGTCACGATCCAGCTCCAGAACGCCTGGGCCTGGATAGAGTCCGGTGGCGCCGTTCGCAGGAAGTAGGGGTACGTGTCCTGGCTGACTGTAGCATTCACAGACTTGCTTTGTTTCGAGTCCTGAGAGGGTTTTTATGCAAAAGGACGCCGAGGGAAGTTCAGAAGGCGAGCTAGGTCTACTATAGTGGTCGGAATTATAACGGTATTCCCTTATGGTCCTGTGATTTATACTATAACCACCAGCCCAAAGAGCTATTCTATTCTTTAAGGCCCCTGTAATAGCGACTCCGAGAATGCCCTCCGGGGAGCCACGAGCATGCCCTTGGATTGCGGGTGGGGAGGTCGTGGGCATTGAAAAAATTTGTTGCTCGTGCTTCAGACAAGATGCGGCATATTACTGTGGATGAAGGTGTCTGGTGAGATCGTCAGAAACCCTAAACCCTAAACCCTAAACCCCCCCCCAAACTTAGCCTTCGCATTTGCAACTGCTCAGGCTCCTGAGTTCCAACACATCTAACGGTTGCCAGGTGCCGCTTTCAACGGGCTCTCAGGGTTGAGGGCTTTGGGACTCGCACTTGCATGTTGCAGGGTTTAGGGTTTAGGTTTAGGGTTTAGGGTTTCGAGTTTCGGGTTGAGGGTTGAGGGTTTAGGGTTTAGGGTTTAGGGTTTAGGGTTTAGGGTTCAGGGTGTCTCAATGAGTGGGCGCGCTGGTGCTGAAAGCACCCAGGCGCGCGCCCCGACTTGCATAAGCCCACCCCCGCTGGCGCTCCACCCTCGCCTCAACCTTTACGGGTTTAGGGTTCTTTTTGAACTCTGATCGTGCTTTTGTTATTTTTCTCTTGTCCATTGGCTGGGTTAAAAGCTCGGCATCGATGCAGATCAACTAGCAAGGGAGATATCTATCAATCGGGGGCTGCTGGAGGCTTGGGCTTGGGGCTGGCTGCCGCCTTCGCCCTCGGCGATGCTGCGTGCTGGGCGGGGGTTTGGAAAACTTGCTTGGAAGGGCGTGAAATCAAAGGTTTGGGCTTTCGCCATTTCTAATGTTGGGCTTAGATGTCCATCATTCGAGGGCTTCTGGGAGGGCCAAAAAGTCAAAGGTTTGGGATTGGGTTGGCTGCCGCCTTCGTCCTTGGTGATGCTGCGTGTTGCTTGACCCCCTCATTTGGGGTGTTTTTGGCTGGAATCAGTGAAGGCTCGGTTTTGATCAAAAATGCAGAAAACGAGAGCCCACCCAGAACCGTCGCCTGAGTACTAAAAAATCGCATTTTTAACTGGGGCCCGGGCCGATCTGGAGTCCCCCTCATTTGGGGTGTTTTTGGGGGCAAACTTTCCCCTTCAAGGGGGGTCGGAGTTTTGAACAAGGGGGGTCGCCCAACACTAAATTGCTTCCAAAATAAGAAAAGGTCGCCGGGGTCCGGTGACCCTTTGAAGGTCCCTTAGAAAAGCTCTTGAAGAGGCCAAAGGGCCTCCCAGCGGGGCCTCCCAGGCAGGGGCATCCCAGGCAGGGGCCTCCCAGGCAAGGGGCCCTCTGTCAGGCAGGGGTCTCTGGCTGGGAGGCAGAACCAGGGCCGAGGCAGGGCCTCCCAGCCAGGGGCCTCAGGGGCCTCCCAGGCAGGGGGTTTCCAGGCAGAGGCCAAGGAGGGCCTCCCAGACAGCTCCCAGGCAGGGGCCTCCCAGAGCGGGCCTTCCAGGCACTGGCTTCCCAGGCAGGCAGGGCCTCAAGCAGAGGCTACGAGGCAAATTGCTGGGCTGCCTGCCTGGACAGGCTCTTTCCTCTGGTCCACGAAAAGCCCGCAGCTGCCTGCGGGACTGGAGCTCCGTCGCCCGCCGGAGGGCTTCTGGCTCCGGAGCTACCTCGCCTGCCGGCTTCGGTGCGTTCGCTCGACGGCCCCGGGCTCACTCAGTTTAGGGTTTAGGGAACTCAGGATTGAATTTCGCTCGCAAGTGCATCGCCTAGTGGAGGCCGGAGGGCTGTGCTATGTACCCCCTAAATCCTAAGCCCTAAGCCCTAAGCCCTAAGCCCTAAGCCCTAAACCCTAAACCCTAAACCCTAAACCCTAAACCCTAAACCCTAAACCCTAAACCCTAAACCCTAAACCCTAAACCCTAAACCCTTGCCTGCCCAGGCACCCTCAGAAAGTTAGTGCGCCCTCTTCTGCTCCACGTGGTTTGTAGGGAATGAGGCTACGACTGGGCATCTCAGCAGCCCAGCTCGATGGTATATATATATATATATACACACACTATATATGTATACATAACAGTTCTTGCAATACCTTAGCGTGCTACGTGACCCTTCACATCTGTGTGATGAAGCGCGGAAGCTCCACCGTACTCTCTGGTTGTATCCTGAGGCCTTCTGCCCTTCCAACACGTGTCTTCCTTTGGTATTGAAGCAAGCAGCTCGAAATTGAAGGTTGTGCAGTCCCAAGAACGGGTGTAGGGTCTAGGATTTCGTGCAAACTCTGAACCTGAACCCGACAAGGCTGAAGGAACTTGGCAGTAGGTTGCAGGCATGGACATATCGAAATTCGGTCATCCTGAGTGGAACCTGACCTCAAACCCACCTAGTTCCCTGAACCTTTAGGCCAGGAAGCTCTCACCCTAAGGGTCCATGTACCTAGATATTAAAAAGTACCTCCTAATTATATAGGGACCTTGGGGCCCAAGTATATAACAATGAGGCACATGGACCACCAATCAAAACACGCAATCTGCCCCCCGAGCCCTCTGGCCTTGTTGGACAATGCCGGACTTGATGCGCCGTAAGCAATTTGCGGGACTTTCCTTCGCACACCCTAAACCCGAAACCCTCAACCCTAAACCCGAAGCCCTAAACCCGAAACCCTAAACCCTAAATCCTTTTGCCTTAACCCGAATCCCTTGGAGGTGCGGGCTTGCTTCAGGCATTATTTGGGGGCGAAGGGGGGGCGGGGGGGGGCAAAGATGGATTAGAGTATGTTTGGGGTTTGTCATACCACCATTTTGGGAAATGCCCATCGTTTCACGTGGGGCTTTCCTTCTTGGAACTTGCCTGGGCATCCTATGACAACTGGACCCCTTCTGACTTTGCAACCCTAAACCCCAAACCCCAAATCCTAAACCCTAAACCCTAGACCCTAAACCCTAAACCCTAAACCCCTCTGGGGTGTAGCCATGCAGGCCTTCTGAGTCTAGGGTTGGGGGTCGATCTGCGCAAGCCCCTGATGAACCCGTATCATGTCTACCCCGAATTCAAGTAAAGTGCGGTTTAGGGTTTAGGGTTTAGGGTTTAGGGTTTAGGGTTTAGGGTCTAGGGTTTAGGGTTTTAGATTACTAGTATCCCCCGCAAGACGCCAATTCTACGCGCTCCCCAACATGAAGAGGAACCCCGAATACACTCACTGAAAACCACATTCTAAACCCTATTTCTAACAAGTCACGATAAATGTGGCGCAGTTCGGGAAATTTTCGTTCCCCTTGAGGGGGCCTCCGTGACTTGCGAGTTTAGGGCTTGGGTTTCTTGCATGTCTGATTTCTGTGCCAAGACACCGCACAGCCGAAACGCTGGCAACCGGCATCGCGATGGACTTAGCATTTTGGAAAACAAGGCTTTTGGCAAGGCAAGTGTGCCCCAGCCCACGAACCCTGAACCCTAATCCTATAGGGTGGCTTCCTGCCTTCCCGTGGAGGCTTTCTGTCAGGTTCCTACTTCTCAAAGCGGAGCGAGAACACCCTAAACCCTAAACCCTAAACCCTAAACCCTAAACCCTAAACCCTAAACCCTTTTAGAACCCAACCCCCCAAAACTTGGAATTTTTCCACCTACCGGTACTCACAGTCCCTTAATGGGGACTCGAAGTACCCCCTATCTAGAATCCCTAGTAGGGACTGTTAGTTATAAGGGGGCACATCCAACCCCAAACCCCCAACTGCGTCCACATCATTAGTGAATTATTGTTACTATTATTATTATTATTTTCATTTTTATGTTTATTGTTATTATTATTATTACTATTTTTATTGTTATTTATTAAAATTTTTTCGGGGTGGGGGGGGGGGGCAGGCCTGCTCCCACCCCACGTGTCTCAAGAGGGCTCGCTTAGGCTTGGGGGGGTTTAAGCCTTAAGCCTTGAGTAGGGTTGAAGGTTTTAGGGGGCCTGACTCATGCCCGGGGTGAAGGGGAGATGCTTTTGGGTAACAACCTTCAACACCTTCGACGCCTGCGACCTTCCACTGCCTATTCCCCATCGTCTCTGTTCTTCGGATGTTTTCTTGCTCGTCGTCTGCGTCTGCTCTTATTTCTTCGTCGTCTTCTATGCAATTCAATGATTCATCTTTCCATTGCTAGTCCCATCCTGGATATGCTGAATACTAGCATTATTCTGAATGTTCGGCGTCTTCTTGTGTCTGTCTTTCTTGCGTGTGCGGGCTTTTGCTTGACGCCTAGCCGGAATCTGTGCTTACCTTCTTAGTAGGGAATGAGGAAATGCGGTACCTATACAATCCCCTAAAAGGGGTACATACAGAGGGATAGGAGGTACCTACTAAGAACCAGGCTTCTTCTGGCTCAGGCTTTCTTTATACGACGTCTTCCGAAGCCGGAAGTGGCCAGACTTCGCAAAACTTGCTTCGGAGCTTCGGGTTTTGTCTATTCGTGGAGGAGGCTTGGGACTCCCCAACTTAGGCGCTGTTTCGGGTTTAGGGTCTGGGGTTTGGGGTATCAGAACTACCAAGAAGAAGGGGGAAATTGCCACCTTCAGAAAACTCATGCTGCTTCATGTGTTCGGTATGCCACTGCCAGTACATCCGAACATGCACTCAGGGCAGCACGGAGAAGATGCCCCCCACCTGCACAAAGAAGCCCTAGACCCCAAACCCTAAACCCTAAACCCTAAACCCTTTTTGCAACAGGCTTCATACTTCACCTGGGGTCTGCTCCCACATCACTTGTAGCATGGGGAACCTTGATGCTCCGGATTTTGGAACACACGAATCTTTACACTGTACACAATGTCTCATACGTGCGACTACTAGCTACAGCGTCTCCTGCGTCTCTGCAAGACTCGCTGTGATGCCATCATCTCTTCGTTGTTGTTTCTGCATCCGCCTGCGGGCAGCATGAGCCGCCTTCAAGTCCTGCAAAGAAGATCCTGCTGTTCTGGGCACATCCACATGCTCGGACCGTGGCTGGGGTGGCAAAGATATTTCCTCCTCCCTGAAATTGGTTTCCCTTGCATGCAGAGAAGGTCCCACCGAAGAAGTACTTGCCCATGCCTGCTCCATCCCTCTCTGTTTCTCTTCCAGATATGCGATGGACTGCTTGGCAGAAAGAGTCGGTACCCTAAACCCTAAACCCTAAACCCCCAAGCCTGGGGTGGAAGCGCTTCGGGGGCATGCGAGTTTAGGCTTCTAGGGCTTTTGCGTCAGCGGAAAGTGGTGCAATGCTTCGTCTTGGACCCAAGAGAATAAACACGGTGCCCTTTTTGGTTTAGGGTTTAGGGTTTAGGGTTTAGGGTTTAGGGTTTAGGGTTTAGGGTTTAGGGTTTAGGGTTTAGGGTTTAGGGTTTAGGGTTTAGGGTTTAGGGTTTAGGGTTTAGGGTTTAGGGTTTATAAAAAGGGTGCCCTGTTTGGTTTAAAGGAGCCTATAAGGGAACCTAAACCGTTAAACAAAAGGGGAATAAGGGCCTGCTCTGGGCCCTTGACAGGGTACCTACCCATTTTGTGCCTTTGCAAGGGAATGTAGATGCTTGTAGGGTTTAGGGTTTAGGGATGAAACGTCACCGGAGCTGTCAACGACCTATGCAAGACCCACATCCTCCACCCGAAGCCAAGAAAAGGTGTAGGGGTTTTAGGCCCTGCGGGGTTTAGGGTTTAGGGTTTAGGGTTTAGGGTTTAGGGTTTAGGGTTTAGGGTTTAGGGTTTGGGGTTTGGGGTTTGGGGTTTAGGGTTTAGGGTTCAATTATCCTAAACTCCTAAACCCTGAACCCCAAGTCTAAACCTCCCCCTCCCTCCCTCCGGCCAGAGCTGAAACCGGCGTCCCGCCATCTAAGCCGAGCCTGAAGTTGCATTTTAGGGTTTTGGGTTTAGGGTTTAGAGTTTAGGGAGTGGGGGCTTGGGGTTCGAGGGATTAGGGTTGGGGTCGTTGCATAGACTGTTTTTGCCACCCGCCAAGCAGGCCAGCCACACTGCACTGGGGCATTGACTGTAGGGTTTAGGGCGTCGAGCTATTCCCTAAACCCTAAACCCTAAACCCTAAACCCTAAACCCTAAACCCTAAACCCTAAACCCTAAACCCTAAACCCTAAACCCTATAAGGCCTGGATTTAGGCAGCTCAGGCTGCTGGCTTTTGGGATCCTGGGGTTGGCTTTCGAGGGAGTTTTAAGCTTTGGCAATTCTGCAGAGTGGGGTGGCCAGACAGTCCTACAGTGTCCTACAGACCGCAAGGCCGGACGCGGTTTAGGGTTTAGGGGGTTTAGGGTTTAGGGTTTAGGGTTTAGGGTTTAGGGTTTAGGGTTTAGGGTTTAGGGTTTAGGGTTTAGGGTTTAGGGTTTAGGGTTTAGGGTTTAGGGTTTAGGATTAAGGTGTTGATTTAGGGTTTAGGGGAGGCTTGTCGCCACTAAGTCACTATGCAGGCTGCAGGCGTACTTAATTTGCCGACTTACAACCGAACCTGATAGAGGCCTAAAAGCCCGGAAGCCCTGACACCTAAGTATCCTAAGGCTGCAATACCCCAAACTTGAGATGTTCCCCCTGTTACTAAAAGTCCTTGATGGAGTTTTTAGGGTGCAGTATAATCTCAAACCCCACAGATCCCGACAGTCTCTTCCAGACGCCCTCTCTCCTGCAGAGTCAGTTGCCCGTCACTGTCAGCCGCGATGTAGCCACATCAGCGTTAGCTAGGTCCGCGAAACTGTAAGAGACGCCCTAAACCCTAAAACCCTAAAACCTAAACCCTAAACCCTAAGCCCTAAACCCAACAAAGTCTGTAAAACATCCCGAGCGCTTAAAATCAACCCACCCTCCTCCCCGCAACTCCCAGCCCCCTTGGCGCCGAACATGAAGTCCAAGGCGGTTTCGACGCCGACGTCTGGCCTTGAGCTCACCAGCGGGCTCAGAGGGCTTGTAGGGGCTCAGAGGGCGTAGAACGCTTCAAAGGGGTCATAGGTCATAGAGTTTAGGGGTTTGGAGGATTAAAGGGTTTAGGGTTGGGTGGTGCCGGAAAAAGGGTCCCCCCCCCCCCCCCCAACAAAACAACAAAATAACAAAAATAGATTTATACTAAGAGAGAGAGAGATATATATATATATGTATATATATATATATATAATATACAACAAAATATCGGAGATCCCACCTGAAGGAGCGCCGGGGTTTTGGCACAACAAACGCCCCAAACGAAGCTTAAGCGACGAGCCGAGGGGCTGCGAGTGGCTCGTGCCGATGCGCATCGTCACGTTGGCGATGTCGGGATGCCTCCGCAAGGTTTAGGGTTTAGGGTTTAGGGTTTAGGGTTTAGGGTTTAGGGTTTAGGGTTTAGGGTTTAGGGTTTAGGGTTTAGGGTTTAGGGTTTAGGGTTTAGGGTTTAGGGTTTAGGGTTTAGGGTTGGAGCTCAAGTCTCAAAGCCCCTAAAAACCCTAATTTCCTAAACCGGAATATATAACCCTTAAAAATAGAACCCCTAAACACCCTGAAACCCTAAACCCTTTATCAAGCTTCAGGCCGGGTTTGGGCCTTTTTTTTTTGCATGGAGCGAGGGCTTTTGCCGCAAGTTTGAAACAGCGTTTAGGGTTTGGGGTCTGGGGTTTAGGGAAGGTATACGCCGTGGAGCCCCTACAGCCCCAAGCCTCAAAGCTGTGGAAGCCCAAAAAACCCTGGAGCCCAAACTCTGAAGCGTCAATTTCCCTAAACCCTAAACCCTAAACCCTAAACCCTAAACCCTAAACCCTAAATCCTAAACCCTAAATGTTGAGGCTGAAATGAGGGTTTTGGGGTTAGGAGTTGGAGCTTAGAGTTTTTTCGTTGAGAAGGGAAGGGCTTTATAACTTTATAGGGATCAGCCTTTTCACCGGCCGTGCCGACCGAAGCTCTGGCCGCTTCTGCTAAGTAAGGTCGTTGTTATCCCCACTAGGGTTTAGGGTTTAGGGTTTAGGGTTTAGGGTTTAGGGTTTAGGGTTTAGGGTTTAGGGTTTAGGGTTTAGGGTTTTGGGTTTTGGGTTTTGGGTTTAGGGCTTGAGAGGCTTCGTGAACTGCTGGCGGGGCGCAGATCCGGAATGGTGATGATGGGTGGCCCAAATCCTAGGCACGATCGGACTCCCGGCAAGCGTAAGGTCATGACTAACCCCTTTTTGCAGCGAGACACGATACAGAACCCGCGTACCACATCCTCTGGGCCGTTAAGTATGGGGCCCCATGAGGGTTCGAGGGTTTTTGGCTGTAGGGCTCCGCGACCCTGTGATTCGGACTAGGCCATTAGCCGGTATGACAGGGAAAGCCCATGTTTCTTGTCGGTCCGCTTGTTCAAGGGATCCAGAAGCCAAACTTGCGAGAATGTATACCGGGCTTGCTAGTCAGAAAGGGTGCGTGCCAAACAGTAAAGCCCAGGGAGCTTTTTCATGCCTGAACCCAAAACACTGAACACTGCTTCTTCATCTGGACATATTGCCGCACCCTAAACCCCTGAAACCCGAAAACCTAAACCTTAACCCTGTACCCTAAACCCTGAACCCTGAACCCTGAAACCCTGAACCTGCTGTATGTAAACCCAAAAACCTTAACCCTAAAACCCTGAAACCCTAAACCCTAAAGTCTGGCTGGGCTGGGCTGGCTACCACCACGTGAGAGCCCAAGCGCTCAGCGAGCGACCTAACCACACGCCACGTGCAGCCCAGGTAAAGCTGGGGCTGCTGAACGATTTGGCAAGATGAGCACCTTTCTCGAGCAAGGTCCTTAACCAGGCCCGGGCCATGTGCCCGTACAGGGCCCGTAGGGACCGTAGAGCCCGCAGAGGCCGTACAGGCCGTAGGAGCCCGTAGGCGCCCACAGAGCCGTACGGCCCGTAAGAGCCCGTATGAGCCCGTAGGGCCCGTAAGGCCCGTAAGGACCGTAGAGCCCGTAGAGCCCATACGGTCTCATAAAGCCCGTAAAGCCCGTACGGTCCTTAAGGCCCCCAAGGCCCGTAAGGCCCGTAGAGCCCGTAAGGCCCGTAAAGCCCCTAAGCCCGTACGGCCCGCGCAGGCCCGTACGAACCCGTACGGGCCTGCGCGGCCCCTGGCCTGGCGAGAGACCTTTCTCCCCAGCCATGCGAGGGTGCCCGCTCACGCTGCCCAGTATGGGGGAGCCTTTGGCCCAACGCGGAGGTCAAGTCTGGGCGGCTAGCCCACCGTACCGAGTGACAACAACCAACATTGCTGTCTGAACGAGGGGCGTTCTATAACAGCCGCACGGTTGCAACGGAACAGGCCCAACGCGGACAAGAGCACCGACCAGACTTTAGGACCAAAGCCCTAAAACAATGTACGCCTGGTGGTTTGGGGTGGGGGTACCGACACGCGACGCGCGCGTGGGAGTGGGCCCGTCCAATCCATAATGGTGCCCACGACGCGCTACCACACCCTAAGCCCCCCAAACCCTAAACCCTAAACCCTAGCCCTAGACCCTAAAATCCTAAAACCCTGAAACCCGTAGACCGGGCCCAGAAGCGCGTCACCAGCGCCGGCTCGAAGTTCTTGCGCAAGTCCAGGTCGAAGCTCACCTTAGCTAAGAATAAGTTCGACTTCGCAGCGGTTTAGGGTTTCGGGTTTGTTTGATTTGGGGTTTAGGGTTTAGGGTTTAGGGTTTAGGGTTTAGGGTTTAGGGTTTAGGGTTTAGGGTTTAGTCGCTCACTTAGGGTTTAGGGTTGAGGGTCTAGGGTCTAGGGTTTAGGGTCTAGAGTCTAGGGTAGAGAACTGCGGTTAAAAGTGCCCCTGAACCCTGAACCCCAAACCCTAAACCCTAAACCCTAAACCCCAAACCCCCTTGAATTTCTGTCTCAGGGCATGCCAAGGGGGTATGTTGAATATTTCTTAGGACCTTGGAGGTGTTCCTATTGATCTGTTCTCTTATGTTGTTATCATGTCATTAAATGCTTCCGCTACTGCATTTGTTCTGCTCTTCTACGGTTCTGCTACTCTACTACTCTGTTGCTCCATGATTTTGGCATTCTTCGGCCATTCTATCATTCGGTTGTTCTACTCTTCGTTCCTTCTTCTATCATTCTATTCTTTTATGCTTAGATTCTTCTATGCTCTACTGTATTCTATCAATCGATGATGCTATCCGTGTGTATATCTGATCTAGGGCTTTTAGGGTTCTTTTCTCGGCCGGGACGAACCACGTTGCAGCGCAAGGGTGTCCGGCCATTTGGTCGCACTAGGGTTTGGGTTTGGGGTGAGCTACTTTGCTCTGCTCCCACCCCCCCCCCCCCCCCCCCGCCCCGACCCCGACCCCTCAGGGTTTAGGGTTTAGGGTTTAGGGTTTGGGGTTTAGGGTTTGGGGTTTGGGGGTTTAGGGTTTAGGGTCTCACCCCCCCCTCCCCCGCTCGCAGACTGCAACTTGGACTCTCCCCCCTACGCCGTGCTCTGGAAAGCACGGCGCCTGTCACTTGAAACGATGCCATAAAGCAACATCCTCGCTGTCCTCGAATGCCAAACCCCCAATCCCTTTGATACCCCTAAGCCCTTCTCAACCCTAAACCCCTGAGGCAGGAACTTCAGGAGACTTGCTTCAATTGCCAAGCCGCCAAGCCCATGTGGCACTGATCGGATTAATCGAAGGCCTAGACCCAAACCCAAAAACCCAAAGCAACTGCACACCTTCTTGAGGCATGGAACTGGGCTGATGCCCACGCGAACAAGCCGCACATACCTGAACATCTAAGCCCCTCAGCCCTAAACCCTAAACAACTAATAAACCCCCTAAACCCCCTAAACTCCCTAAACCCCGTAAACCTTGCAAACCCCTAAACCCCCGAAACCCCCGAAACCCCCTACACCCTACACCCTAAAACCTAAACCCTAAACCCTAAACGCTGAACCCTGAACCCTCAACCCTAAACCCTAAACCAACACGGGCTCTGGGCTCCCGGCTGCCATTGCAATGAAGCCCTGGTGGTTCGACGTGACGGGGGCATAGACGCCTTGGAGGTCTAGGGCCTTTTGTTGAGGGTTTAGGGTTTAGGGTTTAGGGTTTAGGGTTCAGGGTTCAGGGTTCAGGGTTCAGGGTTCAGGGTTCGGGTTCAGGGTACAGGAGGTGCCTCTAAGGAACTCTTTTTTTTGAACAAGTTCAGCGGCATTTCGGGCTTCCATGGGAGGTCTTCCGAGGTTTTGGGCGTGGGGGCTTGCAGATCCTCTTCCGCCACCTGCATGGCTAGCCCAAAGGATCCATGTACCCATATAGTATGTACTTTGGTTCTTAAAGCTGCTATATAGGAACCCCTTTAAGACCTAAGTATATACTACATAGGTACATGGATCCTTAAGGGTAGACTGCTCCAACCCTGTCAGGGAAATTCGTATGATTCCGAGCTGGCCGCTGCACCGAAAAAAACTTGTTTGCAAATCATCTTCTTGATCCCCAAGAAAGGGAACCTGCACTTTAAAAAAAGTGCAGGTTTAAGGCTTAGGGTTTAGGGTTTAGGGTTTAGGGATTTGGAGGTTTAGAGGCTCCTCGGCTTGTCATCCCTATTCCCACATGGCATCCGAGGCTTCCAAAAATGGAATCACCTAGTCAAGTAGGCCCCCTAAACCTAAACCCTAAATCCTAAAACGCTCACGAAGTCCACTTGGCCTTTTGCTAGGTCCTCCGTTTCCGAAAGAAAGCCCCCGATTTGAGTCTACGCCAGATTTAGGGTTTAGGTTTTAGGGAGTCAAACGGTCCATATGAGTGCGGAAAGACGAAGCCGTACTTCATGCAGGAACCTATACGGTCAGTCCAAGGCGTGTTGTTGTGAATGAAGGCATTCCTCAGTGAGAACCCTATGTAGTCTGAGGCCAAGTTCTTCATAGTGTGCCACGGGGTCTCCCGTGGTCACTGTTTCGGGCACACATGATACGACGAAGAGCCATGCACAGTACAGGCGCACAAAGTCAAAGGCGCGAGGTCGAGTTAAGGGGTATTACAGTCCCTGGGAGCAAGTGAAGGCTAGGATCAGCTTGCCGAGACGATTCTGCCACGACGTGTAGTGCTACTTGCCCTCATGGGGTTGAAGGGATGGTGTCCTAGTGTCACCCCTGAAGTGTAAACGCTGGAACCCACACTAAACCCTAAAGCAAAAACTCTAAACCCTAAACCCTGAGCCCTAAACCCTAAACCCTAAACCCTAAACCTTAAACCCTAAACCCTACAGCTAAGACCGATGGCCATCCGGACAAATGTCTAGCCAACACGGCACAGCTAGTCCAATCAACCTCTGCGTGCATGCAGGGAGTCAAGCCTCCAACTAAGCCAAAATTCCCCACGCCCCCCCCGCCCCCCCCCGGCCAAAAATACTACTAGTAATATGCATGAATAGAAGTATTAATATATTTATACTCATAACAAGAATAACAAAAAATGAATCCTAGCGGCCAATCGCCAGCTCCTGGGCATGCCTCGGCGGAGAGGGATGCGCAGGGTTTGGGGCGGTTTCGGGGCGCCTTAATGATTTTGCATAGGGTGTTGGGGAAAATATAGTGTCTTTAGAAAAAGGCACGATGCGGAAATAGTGCTAGTATCTATTCCGACCCCTAGGTTAGGCTGGGATGAGGGCAGGGTTTGGAGGAGTCTGGGGTTTACGGGGTTAGGGCTTATAACATCCTTTTTGCATCTGGGCTCGCCAATGTGGCGAGAACCAATAGAAATGGTCATGTGAGAGTCGCGGGCTCCATGCTTTGGGGTTCTGTTTTCATGCAAAAAAAAACGTCCCTTGTCAAGAAAAAATGGTGTTGAACCACCAAAGACAACCTTTTTCTCGAGAACGCAAAACAAATTTCTTGAGCCTGCAGCTCCTTGGGGAAGATGGTTTTTCCTGGCCTTTGTTGTCTCTCCTCGACAACAGTTGGTTTCGGGGGCGTTGGTCACTTGGTCCTGCGCAAGATACAGAGGCACATAGACTTGGCAGCAGACGCATGTCTCTCCTCCATGCAAACTTATCACGGACACCTCTGTGTGTGTATATATATAGATATATGCTGCCTACTGTAAACCCTCATCTTTAAACCCTCAACTCTAAACCCTCGAAACCCCTGACTCTAAACCCTGAGGCCCTAAGCACTAAAACCCAAAACCATAGATCGTAGGAAGAAGAAGTCAGAGTTGCTGGGGAGAGGAGGAGTTGAAAGTAGTAGTAGAACACGCAGTGGGTGGTAGTGGTCGTGGTACAACAATTTTAGGATTATACAAAAACTACTACAATAGCAAAAACAATAGCAATAGCAATAGTAATCGCAATAGCAATCGCAATTGCAATAGCCATAGCAATAGCAAGAGCAAGAGCAAGAGCAAGAGCAATAGCAGCAGCAGCAGCAGCAGCAGCAGCAGCAGCAGCAGCAGCAGCAGCAGCAACAACAAGCAACAACAAGCAACAACAAGCAACAACAAGCAACAACAAGCAACAACAAGCAACAACAAGCAACAACAAGCAACAACAAGCAACAACAAGCAACAACAAGCAACAACAAGCAACAACAAGCAACAACAAAGCAACAACAAAGCAACAACAAGCAACAACAAGCAACCACAAGCAACAACAAGCAACAACTGTTGGGGAATTGGGGGGGAGGGGTGAATATCTCTCTCTATATATATAGATATATACATGTATGTATGCGCATGCATGTACACATGTGTATATAGGCTTGGGGTTGCTGGCGTCTGGTGCTACACTCCCTTGAGCAGCGCACATCCTGGGGTTTTAGGGTTTAAGGGGTCCCAATGCCCCCCCCCCCCCCCTGATGAGGGAAGCTAGACTCAGGGCTATTGGGTAAGTGGAGAAGCCGTAAGTTTAATCGCACCTCGTCACCCGGGTCTCATGAAATGCTGCCTGCCAGCCAAAGTATGGAAAAAAGTGTAAGCCCCCCCCCCCCCCCCCCCCAGCAAAAAAAATAAAATAATCAAGAAATAAATAATAAAAATGAATACAAAAGGGACCATCATGTAGAGAACTGACCACTGCAATTAACCGGAACCGCCCTGCGCACCCTACCCCCGTCCCCAGCCCCCCACATTTTAGGATTTTTGGGTTTAGGGTTTGGGGCTTGGGGGTTAGGGTGCAGGGACTCCCAGCCAAAGTGGTGCAACGCAGCTGTGCAGCGCCAAGCAGCAGCGGCGCGACACTTAGTGTAGCGAGCAGAGCCAGGTGGCTGCCCAACATCCTCAAGACGCTTCGAGGGGCCAAGGGCTTAGGGCTTAGGTTTAGGGTTTAGGGTTTGGGGTTTAGGGTTTAGGGTTTAGGGTGAAGGGTTTCGGGTTTAGGGTTTAGGGCTTCCATCGGGCCCAGGCTCACAAGACAACTAGCTCACCTGATCACCCTGCTTCATCCTTGATGGGTTTTGGGGCTTCGGGCTTCGGGGTTTCGGGGTTTCGGGGTTTCGGGGTTTAGGGGTTTAGGGGTTTAGGGGTTTAGGGGTTTAGGGGTTTAGGGGTTTAGGGGTTTAGGGGTTTAGGGGTTTAGGGGTTTAGGGGTTTAGGGGTTTAGGGGTTTAGGGCTTTAGGGGTTTAGGGGTTTAGGGTTTAGGGAGGTTTTTCCATGTTCATCTTTACTTCTTGGACTGCGCAAGTTTCTGCTGCTGAGGGCCGAGGGGGTGAAGGCATTCAGAGTCTGGGTGTTTGAGAATCCTTCGGGATTTTAGGGTTTAGGCTGTTAAGTTTAGGGGTTCTAGGGTTTTAGGGCTGTAGGGTCTAGGGCTGAGAGGCATCGCAGGTATTTCGGGCATATGCGTGCAGGAAACATACTGAAAGCCCATAAAGGATCAGCGCAGCTTTTATTCCCTGCCTGGGGCTCCACCGGATCACCTAAGGAACTGTAGGGTTGAGGGTTGGGATGATTGGGATGTTCCCCCTTATACGAACAGTCATTAACAGGGATGAGAATGCCCGCTATTATAATCCCTGTTCAGGACTGTGAGTATAAGGGCGGACATCCCACGTTTAGGGTTTAGGGTTTAAGGGGTTTTGCAGCCAAGCAACTCTTCGAGAAGTGGGCCCCTGCTTTCTGTGCTGTGGTTTCTTGGGGCGAGGGGGGGTGCGGTTCATCAGCAAACAGATGACGCTGTCAAAAGGCCCGAAGCCCAAGATAGGATGCTATTTTTCCTGGTGGATGGCAGAGATTTCCATAAATTACAAGAATCTGGAAAAAGATGCGTTTCTTCCTGGCATGAGATGAATTCCTCAGAGATGCATGGGGGGCCAAAAGTATTTTTGAAAACACACCGGAAAGTATAAAATACAAGCTCTTCGCACCAGCACCCCACTGAAAGTCATTCCCAAGAAAACGCACGTTGTGGCTCCCAAAAACCAAGTAAACATATTTGCTGGCAGAATGCCTGAAGCATCGGCCCATCATAGAATGTCCAACCGCCCCCCCCCCCCCTGGGCCCAGCAATCAGGCTGCAGATGTGAACCCAGTTGCCGGTCAGGCGTTAGGGTTTAGGGTTTAGGGTTTAGGGTTTAGGGTTAAGGGTTAAGGGTTAAGGGTTAAGGGTTAAGGGTTTAGGGTTTAGGGTTTAGGGTTTAGGGTTTAGGGTTTAGGGTTTAGGGTTTAGGGTTTAGGGTTTAGGGTTTAGGGTTTAGGGTTTAGCCGACGTGCTCAGTTCCGGAGCTAGCCAGCCTCCACGACTTCTTTTGGAGCGAGTCAGGTTCCCTCTTGCAGAGGGTCAACTCACCAACTTGCTCAGCTGGAATGGCAGGTCAGCGCCCCGGTGTTTCATGGATGTTTCGATAGACTTTGATTTTTGGCATCTTGAAGTAGCAGCCGAGACGGTTTTCGGCCACCACCATCCTCCACGCTGCAAAAAGCAGCTAGCGAACCTGATCGACAGAAGTGCGACGTAGGCGGCACCAGTACTTCGATTCAGCGCAAGTTAAAGAAGCTCCGCACAGCTTCTTCTTTGCAACGTGCCACCTATCAAAACTAAGTGTGGTTCTGAACTGAGCCGTCCAAACCCTAAAACCGAAACCCTGAACTCTTCAGTCCAGGGCAAAACCCTGAACCCTAAATCCTAAACCCTTTCTAAGCACGGACTGAGGAGGCTGCCGGCAAACACCTGAAAGCAGGGCCTTCTTGCCTTTTCGCAAGGGTTGCATCAACAGGCGAAACTGAGGGTATCTAAATCCTAACCCCTAAACCCAGAACCCCAAACATCAAACCCTGATCCCTCCAAGCCCCAGACCCTCCAAGCCTTTTGAACATCAAGCCTCCAAACCCCTAAACTTCCCCAAAAACCCTAAACCCTAACCCCTAGACTTGATACAGGCTGGTGGTCTCTTTATCTGTTCCATGAACTACCCAATGTAGCCCCCACATACCATTATAAGGATCCCTATATCTACCCCTTGAAGAACAGAAATCCCACTTGAAGAGACCACCAACCTGCTTAACCTAAATTTGGCTGCACTTTGGAGGGTAGCTTTAAATTAAATTTTTAGCTGCCTTACTCGGAAACCCAATAAACCCAAAAAGGCTAAGGATCTAAAGTTACAGTAAAGCACCACAGAGTCCTTTATAGGGTTCTTAAGGGAGGTTCGGGTTTAGGGCTTAGGGTTTAGGGTTCTTCAGGGCGAGGGGTTCAAGGAGGGTGTGTAAACTTCCTTGAAACCCAGACGTCCCAACTGGGGCATCGCCTGCTCTGCCCCGCTGCGAAGCCAGAAGGCCGAGTGGCTGTGGAAGATTGGCAAAGCGGGTAAGTGCTTCAGGGGGCAGGGATTTAGGGTTTAGGGTTTAGGGTTTAGGGTTTAGGGTTTAGGGTTTAGGGTTCAGGGACATGACTGGGTAATGACAACGAAGGTGTGTCCCCTCGTGACTTAAAGCTTCGCATTGACAGCTGGGGTTGCGTGTTGTTCTCCATCCGCCCAGCTGATGCCCATCACGCCACTCGAGCCCTTTGGCTTCGGGGGCTTCGGATGTAGGAGGGGGGGCATTTTTAGGGTTTAGGGTTTAGGGTTTAGGGTTTAGGGTTTGGGGTTTAGGGTTTAGGGTTTAGGGTTTAGGGTTCACTCGTCTCTCACGCAACCCCAAACCTTATAAACCCGTCAAATCTTGGCCCTTGCAAGTCCTATCGGCTGTTCTTTGCCTTATCACAAGCACCTGTCTAAAAGGTCAACCCAGTCTTTATCGTTGAAGGGCCATCCTTATCGCTGGCCACAGCCTGGCGCAGCCTCATACTAAGGCAAAGCTGTACCAATTTGCTTCGTACGCATGTTCTAGAACTCCCCAGACAGCTGACGGACATCGAAACGGCAGGGAGAAAGAGGCCAATGAATTCTGCGCTTGATTGAAGCTAGGAGGATGATAAATACCCCATATACCCCAGCACCGACTGAGCAACGCAGCTGTACAAGAACCGGTCGGAGCATTCACGTCTTTTATCTCCGCCGTTTTCTTGCGATGGCGTTCTGCGTCGCGCCCTACACCCTTTTTTTGCAGCATGTCTCCACAACGTTGCCTGCTAAGCCCTCAAGCTCGAATGTTATGACTGGCTGATACGCAATAGATGTATATACATATATGTATATACATATATATATATGTAGTGATTTATTTATTTATACCATATAATTTGTAATATATATATATATATGAGAGAGAGAGAGAGATACAAAAATATATATATATATATATACATATATATTATATGTTTTCCATATATAAAAATACAAATATATGTATATGTATATATATATATTATATTTTATATATAATATAATATATAGTACCCCCCCCCCCCCCCCCCCCCCCCCCCCAAAGATCCACCTTTTTTTTACCATTTTTTTTCAAGGAGACAACACAATGAAACAACGCAGTCTGCTTCTCCGATTCATCTGCTCCTCAACTTCATAAACTCACAATGAACTCACAAGAACTCGCAAGTAACTCACAATGAACTCACAAGTGCAACTCACAATGAACTCACAAGTGCTTCATAATAAATATGACTTCTGTGTTACAGCCGTTTCAATTGAAACGGCCGACGTTTCAATTGAAACGGCCGCGATCCAAGATCCAAGATCCAAGATTTTGAGGGGCTATTGGACATGCATCTTGGAATCCTATATCTTGGGTCCCAGCCGTTTCAATTGAAACGGAAACGTTTCAATTGAAACGGCCGGGATCCAAGCTAGATTCCAAGATGCATCTCCAACTTACATTCTTAAACGCAAGTTTAAATGCAGAAAATCCTAAGCCCACCATCTTCAACACTCCGTACCAAAATATGGGGGTCATGGACTCATTTCCTCTCCATGCTCTGGCTCTGGGATTTCTCGACTCATTTACACCACCACAAATTCATTGACCCACTGGCGCATCAACCCACACTCTTTAGAAAACGCAACCATTGCTTACAAGCATTACGTTTACTTATAGACAGGGGGTAGGGGGGGGAGGGGGAAGAGGGAGGTACCAGGGGTCTCCCACATACCCCTGAACACCTCCCTTCCCTCCGCTCCACCGCAGGCTTATTCTCTAAAACCCTATTGGCTACGGGTTTAGGGTTTTAAAGAGAAGCCCCGAAACCTTTTCGGGTTAAGCAATTAAAATTAAACGCAAACCCTGAATTTAACTTTTAAGCCCTACATGATTCAGGTTTAAAGGTTTAGGGTTTAATATTTAGGCACTTAAATATAGGTCGGCAATTAAACCTAAACCTTTAACCTTTGAACCCTATAGTTTAATGTTTCAAGGTTTAGGGTTTGAGATTTAGTGTAAACCTAAGCCCATAGAGTCCAAAAGTTGGGATTTAAGGTTTAGGCATGTAAACCTTAACCCTAAACCCTTTAGGGTCTGAACCCTAAAACCCCATAGGGTCCAAAAAAGCTCAGAGTTTTCAACCCGATATGAGCTGAACGTACACATGCCCAGACCTTAGGTTTGTAAATCAGTAAACCCTATAGGGTAAAGGTTTAAGGTTTTTTGAGGGTTTATCTCTTAAACCCTCGCGCGGTTAGCCCTATAGGGTGTAAACCCTGTAGGGTTTACAGGTTTCGGGTTCAAGATGTAGACATTACCTATAGGAGCCTTATCACCCTGTGATTTAGGCAGTTAAAGCGAAGCCCATAGAGTTCTAGGGCTTTAAGTTTAAGATTAACCCTAAACTCTTTAGGGTCTGAACCCTAAAACCCCATAGGGCCCAAAAAAGCTCAAAGGTTTTTACCCTATAGGAGCTGAAGGTGTACATGCCCAGACCTTAAGTTTGTAAACCATTAAACCCTAGACGGTGTAAACGTTTAAGGTATTTTGAGAGTTTATCTCTAAAACCCTCACGGGGTTAGCCC